AAAGGACATGTGACAGTCGCCCTGAGCTGTCTTCCTAAGGGACATTTATTTCCCCCCCTCCGTCATGGTTCCTTCCCGACAGACGCCCCCCCTTCCACTATGATCAGTGAAAGCACCAACACTGGTTCCCCAGCCTCCCTGGCAGCTAGGGCATGCGCATGCGAACAAATTCTGACCATTGGGACCATATGAGAAGCTAGGGGGGTTCAGAGAAATCTTTCCCAGTTTTATAAAAAGAGGACATATTCTACCTCTGGACACAGCTGTGTGTGTGTGTGTGTGTGTGAGGACAGGCTGCCCGGAGCTGCAGTAGCCTTCTTGCAACTGTTAGGGGACACACCTGAGAAAGAACCAACACCCTGAGGATGGTGGGGAGAAAGATAAGAAAAGCTGGAGCCCTTGAGGTCATCCCAGAGTCACTGATTTAACCCTGGGACCGCCCATCCTCTGGACATCTCGTTAGTGACATTTAAAACTCCTTACTGTTTATGCCACTCTCTGAGAAAGAATCCCAACTGACAGGTGTCATAAGGCAGGGTTGGATCACGCCAGGCCAGCATATGACAAAGCAGGAACTGAGGTTTACGACGAAAGAGAACAGCACAAGCACCCAAGGGACGTACAGATACCATGAATTAGGACTACCTGCCTGAGCCCTCGAGCTACCTTGTTAGCTCCAATTTTAAGTCACATGGGATTTTTTTTTTTTTTTGGTAATAATTCAAGCGAGTCTCTGGTTTAAAGCAGTGCTTCAAACTTTAATGTGAATACGAATCACCTGGAAATGGTTCAGTGGATAGGGCAAATTCTAACTTCTTTTTCTTGAAGACAAGCTGTCAAGTGATACCAAAACTGCTGGTCCATAGACCACAACTTGTACAGCAACATCTTCTGACTAAAAGTACCAACCTAAGGCAATCTAACACCAATCTAAAGAGGAGCAGTGGGTTTCTTCACGGCCTTGGCTTCTATCTCCATACAGATAAGACCTGCTATGGAACGTGTGTGCCTTGTAAAATGACTTTAGGTCTCTGAGACCTAAAATACACACAGGTGGTCTCTGTCTAGAATCAAAACCTTAAACAGCCAGCCCTGGTTTCTTGGAATGTTTATATGAACTTCTGACCTCCCTAAAAGTACACCATTCATAGGTTGCTGATGGCCATAACTACTCCAAAAGTTTTATGAATGCAACAACTTTTAGAAAAATCTCTCCAAGGCAAGCATTCCCCCAACCATTGTAAATAGCCCCCAAAACAGATCTGCAAATCTGAATGCAAGCTGTTTTCTGCCATGCATCTTGCAAACACCACATCGACTACTTTGGGATCAAAAATATTTCTTAAGAATCTCTTTTGGTAAATTATAGAAGTTAGATCCATACTTCATGCCACACACTAAAAAGATTGATGAATTCGAGTAAACCATGTGATACAAATCAAACTAAACCTACTGAGAGAGAATACAGGTGAATATTATTTGATCTGAGGTCAGGCAGGGCCTTTCTAGAAAGAAAAGAAGAAATTCAAACAGGAAAGACTGATAAAATTAGTTACAATCCTTTTAAAGTCTTTGCCTCAAAAAACCACCATAAATAAACAACGTTTTAAAATAAAGTGAGGAAAAGAAATGCCACAAAGCAAAGGGCTAGTAAAAAGTCATTTAAACATAAGAAAAAACACTAAAATCCTAATAGGGGTGGGGGTGAGAGAACACAAAATATTAACAGACCAGACTAGGGCAGGCACACCCAAGGGACTCAAGGTGATCTCTGGAGGGGTGGGGGTGGGGAGGTGTGTGAAGAAAATATTCGAGCTATTTTCTTTTTTAAAGTTTTTTTGACGTGGACCATTTTTAAAGTCTTCATTGAATTCGTTACAATATTGCTTCTGTTTTTATGTTTTGTTTTTTGGCTGCCAAGCATGTGGGATCTTAGCTTCCAGACCAGGGATCGAACCTGCACCCCATGCACTGGAAGGTGAAGTCTTAACCACTGGACCGCCAGGGAAGTCTCTAGAGCTATTTCCTTAACCTGTCCTTTAAAAAGGATTTTCTATCTGGGACTATGTTTTATAATTTACATATATTAGGACAATTCTCCATATACGAATGTGTATTTGGAGAAGGAATTTTTTTCATATTGGGGTAAGAAATCAAAAATTTGGAGACAATATGGAATACTAATTAGCTAATAAAAAAATTTAGCCTTCCTAAACAAAGAAATGCAAAGATAAAATGAAGCCATTTTTTCCTATGAAATTAGTAAAGCTATTTTTTCAATCTTAGTGCTTGTTGATCAGGATATACCTCAAACCCTGCCAATGAAAATATAAATGAGTCAAATCTTTTTGAAAAGTGGTTTGGAAAAATGTGTCACAAGGCTTAAAGATTAATATCTTTGATCAGAGTTGCCAGACTTAGCAAACTGTATGAAACATACTTATTAAAAATTCATTGTTTATCTAAAATTCCAACTTAACTGAGCATTCTGTATTTTGTCCGTTAACCCTGCTTTAACTCTATTATTCTACTTCCACGATTCTATCCGAAAATATTTCGATATAACAACAAATATTTCTAGACAGTCGGCGCAGCAATGCCGTATCATTAGTGAAAGATTAAAAATAATTTCAATTCAACATTAGAGAAAGGGTTCCATAAATTCAGGCACATCTATACAAGGTAAAAATGCAGTCACTGTAAATTATGTATTTGTAGTCTTTCTTTATCCCACTTCATGTAGATATTCACAAGTTTTGCTGAAGAAATGTTCACGTGTTTCCTGCCCTGTATCTGCTAGAGATGGTACATACTGTCCAGTACACATGCACTGTCTCACCTTTCTAAAGTTTAATAAGCTCCGAGTTCTAAAATGCATGTGGACCCAAGGGTTTGCAGACTGAGGAATTATGGACCTATCATTTTCTTGAAGCTTCATAAAATTTTCTGTAAACACTACAGCCTGAGTCAGTAGTACTTAGCAGGACTGCAGGGAGGGATGGGCGCCCATGCCAGGTGTAAAGTGAGCTGGAAAGCCGTAGCTGCAAAGTGAGGTGGGCAGAAGACGGTGAGACATGACAGGGGAGAAGCCAGGATCAAGATCACGAAGCTGCAAGTACGGTAACAGCCCGAGAGTTCCTCTCTAGCGAAGCAAAGGGGGATCCTTCTGCTGTGGGAAGGAGAACTAAACTACCGAAGCCATCCCCCAGCAACTCCCAATCTGGTTAAAAGCGTGAGCGGAGAAGCAGGTGGGGACTTCTGTCCCATTATCGGCACAAGTCTGAGAGGACCCCCAAGAACCGCCTTCATGTGGGGGAGGAATGAGGAGCCAGCTTGCAAACCTGACCTGTAAGAAGCCTACCCGAGACCCATCCAGCAACCTTCACCTTCCTCTCTGGGCATTATCGGTTGCTACTGTAACGAATTACCACAAACTCAGTGACTTGCAAAAGCCCAAAGTCATTACCTTTTAGTTCTGGAGGTCAGAAGTCTGAAATGAATCTCACTGGGCTAAAATCAAGCTGTTGGCAGGGCTGCTCTCCCTTCTGGAGGCTCCAGGGGAGAGCCCAGTTTTCCAGCTCCTGGCAGCTGCCTGCATCCTTCGGTTCTTGGCCCTTCCGCCTTCAAAGCCAGCAGCAGCGGCGGGCGGGCGACCTCTCCCCCCACCACATCCATCAGACACTGCGTCTTCCGCCGCCCCTTCCACTTATAAGGACGTCAGTGATTACACTGGGCTCACCTGGAGAATCCAGGCTGCTCTCCCTATTTTGAACTCAACTGATTAGCAACCTTAATTCCACCTGCTTCCTTCCCCTTTGCCACATACAGTAACTTATTCACAGGTTCTGGCCATTAGGATGTAGACATCTTTGAAAGGCTGTTATTCTCCCTACCTATGGGTATGCTACAGAACTCCAGGCAGACAACCTATGTAATGAAAATGTTGAACAACACATATAATGAATATAATAAAGAATTCTTCGGTGCTCAGAGGAAGGCATGGGGATAAGACTGTATTGACAGACTCCTGAACAGGAGTAGCTAGGACATCTGGGATGTAACCCGTCTAATCACAAATGACTTGGCCTCCAGAAAAAGAGGATCTCAACCTCCTTCATCTGTGGTTTTCAACATCAACCTGCCCCTCCCAATTTAGTGGTCCTGTTCCTGTCATCCTATCTCTGTGCATACGTCCCAATTTTGAATCAGATCCACTGGATTCTAGCCTTAGAAGACTGCATCCCAGCTTTTGTCCTCAGACTCAGCTTGGGTAATAAGCACATGCTCCCTCTGGCTTACCAGCCCTGGGCTGGGCGCAAATCCAGATCATTTCCAGAATGGACTGGTTCCTTGCCTTACCCATTCCCAGATATTACTCGTCTTTTAAAGCTGACTGGCTGGTCTCCACAGGGAAGGAGATGGGTAACAAAAGCCAAAAATCTACAGCTTTGATTACTCGTCTGCTTCCCTTAGAGACCAGCAGGTGTGCAGGATTGATCTAGCGAGGGCAGAAGGAGAGTCAGGAAACCTGCGTTCCACTCTAGGGGCAGGAAGGACTTCTAGGGCAGGGTGGTCTGAAGAGTAGGGGCAGCAATAAAGGGATGGATGAGGCAACAAGGTTCTAGTTTGTTGTAAGAAAAGAGGGGCATGGTGGGTTCAGCTGAAAATAGAGACCCCAGCTAGGGATTATAACACAGCAAATTGTGCATGTACTATCTGGGGGGAAACACCTTCCATGTTCGCTCTTCTCTGGCCCTGGATTTCCCCTTCTCAGGAGAACAACGGGAGGGGCCCAGGCAGGCTGACTGTGGAGCTTAAGCTGCTTGACCAGGCCCTACCCTTCTGCTGGGAACGACCACCACCCACTGCGGGTTGGCCAAATCTGGACAGGAAGCAAGAAAAGACTGGACAGTGCACAGATGAAGTAACAGCCCCAGGTGGTGGTGGCATGCCAGGGGCTCCATGACCGTGTTCCCCACCCAGGCCATGGGCCTACTCACCAAGCTCTCCTCGAACCACTCCTTTATGTAGGCAGCTGTGGGGCCTGGGATCTGGCTCAGGAGGGCTGCTCTCTCCTGAGAATGCTCCAGCATCTCCAGGGCCAGCCTCAAGTCCTCGACGAGATGGAGCAACGGGAAGGGGTTCATGTAGGAAGCCGCGGAGGCCAGTCCAGGCTCACAGGTACCATCGCTAATATCTACCCCCGTGTTAGTGCCTGGAACAAGACAGAGGCGGGAACCTTGGTAAGAAGGGTGGACGCCACGGGCAAGGAACTGATAAACAGCAAAGTTAGTGAAAGGGGAGAGGAAAGGGATGGATAAGAAGCCTAGAGGAACCACTTCTGCCTCAGCAGAATCACTCACAACATGAACTTTGCAGAAATCACCTTTCATCCTGGCTTGGGCATGAGAGAGGCACATGACTGTGCCCATTGGGACTGGCTTAGGGAAGCTCACAACTTCAGACAACTGGGAAAGCACAGCTAGACCTCACCCACGACCAAGGACATGTGCGCTAAAATGGTGAGATGTCAGTCTTCAGCTCTGATATTAATAAATTTGTCCTCTTCTACGTTAATGTGGTAGACTGCACAGATGGCCACAAAAAATCCATCCCATCCTCGTGTGGGCATTCTACTCCCCTCATCCTGAGGTGGATGCTGACTCTGGGCTGGTCTAGTGACTCGCTCTGATCAACAGGATGAAGAGGAAGGGATGCTGTGTGGGGTCTGGTGAGGTTGAGTGAATCGAAATCTTTCTAGATCTTCCCAGTTGGGAAATTCTATACCCTCTGACATACTCAGAGGGTATAGAATATAGAGGGTATACTTTTGACTTGTATTTATTACTGTGTGTATCCATATCTCATATCCCTTTATGGGCTGTGAAGTCTCTGAGGGCAGAGCCCCTGTCATAGTTAGCTAACATAGTTATCATGCCCCCTGACCAGTAGATGGTGAGGGGGAACTGGACTGAATGTCTGTACATATGCTTGGATGAACAGCTAAGAGGAAGAGTACCTGGATTTCCCCAGAGATCTGGGATACTGGGTCTTTTTCTAAACTGGTATGTCCCAAATAGGACTGTTTTTGCCTTTCTAAACCCCACCATTAAAAAAAAAAAAAAAAAAAGTCTTCTTTGCATGATATGTACAGTGATATATTTTTCAAACCAAAACTGGGGCAACAGAGTCTAACAAAGGATTTCTGTGCTTCTTTCATCAGTAAGAAACACTTTAGAAAATATGGTTCGTAGTGGAATTTCTAGGGCATTTGGATTGTTTATAAAACCAACAGAATAAAATATTTGAAGTCAGGACTCTTGCTGGAAAATGTGGGCTGTAGGGCTACCACATCCACGGTGGCACTGCAGGCCTGACGTCTAATTCCAGGTTCCTCTGCTCTTTTAAAAGCCAACTTCCTACTTGCCATGGCAGTCTTTGGAATGAGAAATCCACACAGAAGGAAACAATTACTATTTGATTGCCGGTTTGCTTTCTGAAAGGGCAGGATAGAGGGAGTCGCAGATCACAATCCACAAACAAGTCCATGGCTCTGGGGAACTAGGAAACGGCCCTACTACCCACACTCTGATGTGTGCTCAGCGCTTTCTGGCTCCTGCAAATACAATTTAGAGTTGACTAGGAGAGGCCACAGCCAACAACGTCAGGAAAGAAAATGAACAGAAGCAGGGCAAGACCCCCCAATCTCCAAACAAATGCTAAGTAATCCCTCTGCATCCTGGACACACTTCAACACACACACACACACACACACACACACACATTTATAAATGGAGGATAAGTCAGGCCAGGAGTAGGTGGGAAGACTGAGATTTTCATTCACTTTATATCACTCCTTGGCCTTGGACAAGTTCCTTCCATTCTCCGGGCCCCTCCCTGCCCTAAATCCTTGGGATTCTTCCTTACTATTCAAATATTGCGTATGTGTGTAAATGTGTATGAGTACATGTGTATCTGTGTCTATTTTTCCACATGTATACACACGTAAAAGACTTTAATTTCTATTTCTTTGCAATTTCATCAACACACAGGCTCAGAAAATGGTCCAGAATGGTGAAACTCCTAAGGCCCAGCATTAGCAAAGGCAACAATCACCCAGGGAATTCCCTGGTGGTCCAGTGGTTAGGACTCAGAGCTTTCACTGCTGTGACCTGGGTTCGGGGAACTAAGATCCCACAAGCCTCGTGGCGCGACCGAAATAACAACAACAAAAAGCCAGTCACCCAGAAGACTCAGTTCCATACTCCACACACATTCCCTACAGATGATCAGTGCCTATGGAAAAACTACAATCACAGAGGAAAATACATCAAAATCGGACTATCGGATGCAACAAATAAGAAAATGCATGCCTTCATACCTGGGTTTAATAAAACAATATAAAAGAGACAATAACATAAGGCAAGGTGTTGACCCCTAAATTACGTCTCAGAAAACAGCAGCTCACCTCATGTTCAAGCCCAAATAAAGTTTCTCTTTGGGGGCAATCTCTCAATTACTTTATCTTGAACAACAAAGCACTCTTTAGGGAAGATAGATTAACACAGGGGACTTCAATTTTACATGCAGACTGAAATCACTTGGGGAGTTTTACAAACTATAAATGCCAGGGTCCCAACCTCCAGAGGTTCTAATTTGATCGGTCTGAGGCTGACCTGGGATAACAAAAAGCTCCCCAGGTGATTCTAATGTGCAGCCTAAGTGGAAATCATTGACTAGCAAATCAACGTTGATCAATGTCAAATTTTGATGTTTAGGGAGGACAACCTGAGAATTTTTATTTTAAGCACCCACAACCAAAATTTAATACAGATTCAGTAATTGTTAGGGGAAGGTAAGACAACATAAAACGCAAATATAGGATTTCACTGAAAGCCTTTAAATGATCGCTTTCAAAAGCAACTAAGTATGTGTGTAGTAGTAATTAGGGTTATTCAGAAATGTTTTGGCTCTCCTCTACTTAAGCTCATAGTAGGATAACACTTCTGCCCCTTGAAGTTACTCACGGGCACATGACTTCCTCTGGGCAATAAACACGAAAAGTGATATGTGTCACTTCTGGGAGAAAGTCTTTAGGAACCAGAGCACAATTCCTCATATCTCTTTCACTTGCTCTGGTCTCTGGCAACGGTGGGGACTGAATCAGCCCGTGTTCCAAAGGGGAGATGATGTGGACCAGAGCTCTAAGTAGACCCGGGGGGGGAACCTGTACGAGCTGTTTCAAGCTGCTGACATTCTGGGACTGTTTGTTATTGCAGCATAACTTAGCCTGTCTTCACTTACACAAAGTATATATGTTGAACAATTTAGAAATATATATATATAAGATAAACGTCTAAAAAATGATCTTTTACTGCACGGACCACTCCACCTGCCACAAGCCACAGCAAGGGTAACAGGGAACCAGCATCCTCAGTGCTCTGAGCCCAATGTGCAGTCTGGTCCCACGAGGGGGTCTGAGCCGGAGACGGGACCCCCCCACCGACCTCTCAGCCACATTCACTCAGTGTTTAGCCCCAAACACAGATCTCTGGGGGGCAGGATGAGAAACGCTGACATGCTGCCCTCCCGGGAAGATAGTCCAGCAGCTGGATGCCAGGAGCGGGGGTCCCTGTGTGCGTGGCTCCCCCAGCCTGGGGTGGGCTTCTGCCCTGCTGAGCCAGAGCAGGGAGGGAGGGCACACACCTTGGTTCAAAGACCACAGACGCTCATAGTTCTTACCAAGTTCTGGTAGATTCTATGGAATAAATGTTTCTTCAGTGAAATGGCTCAGGATCATTTCCAGAGAAAGGCTCTTTGCATTTTGTAAAAACTGATTTTCTCCAGTTTCACATTTGAGCGTATCTGTAGAGCTCCCTTGGCTGTCATGCTGAGAGCAGGATGTCCCTGTCGCTTTATTATGCAATGAAATTTGAATTAAGATTATCACGAGCCCCCCAAAGGCTAATAAACACTTAATGAAAAATGGCACAAGAAAAAAAATGTCCCTTCCAAAGGGACCCTCCACTTGCTTCTCCTCCACTGACCACTACCCACTGTGAAGCTTTCCCTTCTTCCCTGGCAAGTACAGCAGGATTTTATGACCTTACCCTGCACGTCCAAACTGTAATAAATTCGTTATTGTTTACCTCTAACATACACTTGTTTGTATTACTCAAGGCCACAGGGACTTTCTCCTATGCTTTATTCTAAATGTTCTGTAGCTTCATATTTTGCATTTTGATTTATGATTGATCCAGAGTTAATTTTGTACAAAGTATGAGGATTAGGTCAAGGTTCTTTTTTCTTTTTTTTTTAACTATGGCTATTCAATTGTTCCAACACCATTTGTTGAAAAATAAATAAAATATTTTATTTGTGGATGTTTAAAAACAAAGATCCTTTATAATGCAGATGGGGGTTCTCTGGCATAAGATGAAATATCTATTGAGAGCATCATATGTGAATTTTTAAAGTGCTGTATTTACAACAACTGAAAAGTGAAGATGATGGGCCTGAAAATGGGGGTCCCGAACCCCCAGGCCGCGGACCAGTACTGGTCCGTGGCCTGTTAGGAACCGGACTGCACAGCAGGAGGTGAGCGGCGGGTGAGCGAGCGAGCGAAGCTTCTTCTGCCGCTCCCCATCGCTCCCCGTCACTCCCCATCGCTCGCATTACCGCCTGAACCAACACCTCCCCCCACCCCTCCCCACTGCCACCATCCATGGAAAAATTGTCTTCCACGAAACCGGTCCCTGGTGCCAAAAAGGTTGGGGACCGCTGCTCTAAAACTCTGCACATCAAAAGTGCTGTGCATGTCAGCTGCACTAGCATTACCTGGGGAGCTTGGTGGAAATGCAGACTCTCGGACCCCACCTCTACATTTTATCAACATCCCCACATGCTCTTCAACTGTTCTGGGATGTTAAAATGATTCAACAAGCAGCTCTCATAATGATAAACACAGTATGTTGGAGATAAATGTAAAACGCTTGAATAAAATTATTATTAAAAATGTGCCAGTGAGATAAGAAATCCATAATTATTTTACATAACGCTTATAAATATACAAGTAACTTAATCAATAAATTAATGTTATGAGTACTTGTCTATTTGGGAATCTATTTGGACATATATGATATGTTTTACATAATTGAAGGAAAAAAATGAGAGAAATAGAAACTTTAATGAAAGAATAAGAAGGAGCGAGAAAAG